TGATGTCCTTATAAAATGGCCATGTGATGACAGACACACAGGAAGAACGCCATATGACAAAGAAGGCAAAGATTGGAGTTATGCAGCTGCATGCCAAGGAATGCCAAAGACTGCTGGCTAACCACCAGACCCTACGGAGAGGCAAGGAAGGATTCCCTACGTAGGTTTCAGAAGGAGCAAGGCTGTGCAGAAACCTTGATTTCAGACTTCTGGCCTCCAGACTAAATCTGCCACCCAGAATGTGGCACTTGGTTACAGCAGCCATGGAAAACTAACAGCATTTCCAGCATCTCTTTTAAACATTAATTTACCAACATATTAATGTCTTCAGTTTAAAAAATTATTTTCTAAAGTCTAATACAGTAAACTTGACTTTTGGGGATATATTTTAATACATGTGTATATATTCATATAATCATCACCATAATAGGATACTAACAGTTAATGTCTTGATTTTTAACAGCCTTTGCATTAACAAAAGAAATTGTTTCACACAAGCATAAATTTCCATCCCTTTCACTTCAAAATTTAGACTTTGTACTCACACTTCAATAACATTTTAAAATTCCCAAAGTAGATATAAGTAGATATAACTACTTATCTATAAGTAGGTATAGATCATGAATAAGTAGATTATTCATTAGCTTTAAAATCTAAAGCTCTGTCCTTGAGAAAGTCACCTTCAGTAAGAACTCACCTAAAGCTTTCATTTGAAGAAAGTGATAAATTATCATTCTTCCCACAAAACAGGTGATCGACATAAAAGATACACACATGTTGTAACACTCATACTACTTAATGCTATCAGTTTATTACATGCACAAGATTGGGGTTTTCTCCATATCTTCTAATACCACTTTCATACTAAAAACCCAGGCTTCTCTTTCTTTTCTTTTTTAGTTATATTACACTGAGATGTTCATTCTTAATATTCACTATTCAACAAACTTTGGTTGAAGACTGCATGTGATGTGGTTTGTGGAGAGGGAGAGGTAAAGAGCTCATTGCTTAAAAAAAAAATGGCACAGTAATTTTAAATTGGTAAATTTCTACCCAAAACATTGTTACCACTTACCCCTTAAGAGGTATGCCACTGCCTCCTGTGTTGGAGTATGTTACATATAAATTAAGTAACTTTTCCCCACATGAAGTTTTATTATGATTTTATATCTTAGTCTAAGTAAAACACACGCTATAAAGCTTTTGAGGTGAGGATATCTTTTGTTCCCCAAAATAATATAGATAAAAACAAATTATATGTAAAATTCAAAAACTGTAATACTTGTTACTGCTGCATTTCACAAAAATTGTTATACAGTGGGAGGGAGGTGGGGAGGACTGGGAGGGTGGGCTGGGATGGGAGTAAAAGACAGAAAACTGTACTTGAACAACAACTAAAATTAAAAAATTGTACTAGAGAAAAAACTCACAGACATTTATTGATAATATATAGTGCTCATAATTATAAATTTACTTCTTGATGTTTAAACTATGGATAACTTCCTGAAATGGACCTTTTTATTATAATGGACTTTGTAACTACACTTTTTCCACATATGGTAGTGAAGATTATCCAATGGCAATTACATGATTATTAGAACATGTGTGTTGGGGGGTAGGATTGAGGGTGGGAAGTGGGAGTGGGTGGGGTGGTGGAAGTGGTGGCAGGAAAATGAAGACAACTACACTCGAAAAAACTTTGAAAAAAGGAAAAAGAAAATGTGTGGACTAAAAATGGTCTAGGGTTTTGCTGAAGTCAACTGTCAATGTATGAAAATTTCTGGGTAAGTGTTTATATAATTAGGATATACCAGCACAGAATATACCCACATGGCTTTACCTCACTTTTTAAAATCTAAATATATAAATAAATATAGTAGATCTGCATTTAGAGAAAAACTGTGAATGCCCCTTTTCCCTCAATCAATTCGGAGTTCCTTCAAAAGGCACAAATTTCCTTTTAAATTTTATCAAACAAAAAGATGTTAATTTAAAATATGATGGATAGCAAAAATGTTTTAGGTCCACATTTAAAAATTACTAGAAAATTTGTACTTGTCCTATTCTTATACCATCTGCAGACTCCTGAATAAGTATTTTCCCAAGGTTTATGCTATTGCTATTTCCATGGGCTTCTTAAATAGGTTAAAAATGCAGATGCTGAAAGCATCTGAACTCCATTACCTTCATAATACTGAGAGAGCAGTCTCTAAGTCTATTCGCACAGCTCCAAACCTACAGATGTCCATGAAAAGACTAATTTACAATTTCCCCCTTTTAAAAGGAACAATACTTCTGATTCAACACTGTTATGTAAAAGAAATGTATCCTTTGAGCTTTTAACAACCTATAGTTTCACCATTTGTTTACATGAGCTGGGAAAGTTTTAGTTCTGATTCAAAATCTGATGTTTTCTACAGTCCTTGCCTTCTAGCCATTCCATGATTTCCCATCACCACCAGATTCCATATGAAAAGTAATCAGAAGTTACTGAACTTAATATATTTACTTTTTGTACAAGTTTTTCTTGTTGTCTAATTTGTTTTCCTTCAAAAACTTTTGTGTTGTGCCATTTTCTTCATTTTAAAAATGTATTTATTTATGTTTATTTTAAGGTCTTTTTGTTTTCTTCATTTAGATCCCCTTAGGAATCTTTTCTTTAAAAGAATGTTTTAGAAATACCCTATCTTCCCTTCCTTCCTAAAGCATCAGGCTTCACTAACTTCCCTATTCTGAGGTTGTAAATATGACTTGGAAACAGTAAGGTATGATGTAGAATGTTTAATTAGCACAATGTAGTAATTAAATTGAGTTTGAAGTGAAGTTATAAACTGAAGAACATAACTATCCTGCCTACTAAATTACTTTCTCACTCATCTTTTGGCAATACTTTTTATAAAAACCTGTCTTCTAGATTAAGTCAAGTACTCACATTTTAAGTTTATGAGGAATGAGTCTCTAATTTTACATGTTAAAAGGTGGTTCATGCCAGATACAGAACTCATAATGAAACAAAATGGCATATCCTTTTCTTTCACACTCATTAGCATAAATTAAGAACAGAAGAATAAAGGTTACACAGTGCATGGTTCTCAAATAGCATCACATACCTTGATGTGATTAATTCACTCTCCTACCTACCTTCGTCTATGAAATCCAAAGTGAGAATCTTTTCTCCAGTCCCCAAAACCATCATACAAAAGCTCATCAACCCCAGTAAGCATGCTATCATATCATGAAAGAAAAATATCTGATTTACACATGATATGGATCACCTACAAAATCTAATTGCATCTGGAACTTGACATTATAGTCACTTTCAAAATATATACCCCTTTAAAACTTTTCATCTCCATTTGCCCCCTCAGGTTTGCAAATTCTTTCAAATCCATCTCTTACTATAAAATGACCACTTAAATTGACACTTTTCAACTTAAAATATTGTAAACTAAAATCTTAAAAATTAACTGATCTAAGCTTATACAAAGAAGTTTACAGGCTAATAAATTTCTATATTCATTTTCATGTTTTCAGTATGTCTGTTAAAGCTGTACATCTTAATTATCTGACTATTCAATTCATTCTTTCAAAAATACACATAAATACACAAAGGACTAGCCTTTTTCAAATAAAACTTCCTCAATGAACTGTCACTGTATTCTGATACAGGATGAATTTCGATAAATTTACATTTCCCATTTGCAAAACAAATTGTGATATACTTTTGTTTTAAAAAGAAACACAGGATTCAGTGATTCTCAATAACCAGAAATAGATTACTTTATGTGAAACACCACAAATGCACTACTCTTCAAAAGAAAAAAAAATGTTAGTTTTACCTGGGTAGAAGAGAGCTACATGTTTGGAGTGTGTGTGTGTGTGTGTGTGTGTGTGTGTGTGTGTGTGTTCCTGTGCTTAATTCTAAAAGCAACCTCTGCCCAACTCCTTTCAAAAATCAATATTTTTCAATAAATATGAGCATATAGTGTATAAATAAAGTGCATAGAAATAATGTGCACTTCCAAAATGCTATAATAACCCAACAGAAAAAACATCAGTGGTTTAGTTTTCCACATTGAAAGTCAATATTAAACAATGTCATTTTTTTCTCTTTCTCCCTAACCATTCCACAAATCGGAACTACTGTGTTTGTATATTTAATAAGCATAACAAACTGACCAGAAGCTCTGGAAGAGTAAAAGAAAAAGAAATCATTTTTCATTTTCCCACAAACAAAAAAGATAAAACAAAAAGCAAATACGAAGACTTGTTAAATAAGAAGCACTTGAAAAACCCAACGTGACCAGCTTTTTATTTACCCCAGTGTGACAAGGAAGAGAGACCCCACCCCCACTCCAGATTGTGTAGCTTTTTTTTTTTTTTCCTTGGGTGAGGGTGTGGATAAGCGAAGCTGTCACATTTCCATCTTCCGTTATTGTTAAGTCCGCTGCCTAGATTCCCAAGTATAGCTGGTTGAGAAGGAAAAAAAATACTAAAGCAGAAAATTTAAATTGCCTGAAATTAATTGTTGATTTTTTCCAATTTTAAAATTACATCCAGCTTCAACATGCTAAGATTATACATTGCCTTTGACAGCCTCTCCCTTAAACATTCCCTATTAAGACGGCTTGCTCCGGATTCACTAACAATTCTCTCCTCTCTAAACTTAAATTAGAAAAACGCATTCCAGAAATTAGTACATCCAAAAAAGCATTCCTCCCAATCCTTTTTGTTTTAGATGTGAGTGTAGAATAAAGAGTAAAAAAGAGCCCTATTCGCTCTTCAAACAAAGTGAAACGGGGGTGGAGGGCCAGTGGGGAGAAAGAGCAGCAGTGGACCTGAAAGAAATGTTGAGAAAAGTTTTTATGTGGTTAGTATGTCCTTGAGCAAGGGAACAGGAGTTTGACAGTAAGCTGGGGTCTTGCCCCCGGGCTGGGGCAGAGAGAGAAGGCACCTGCGGAAGAAGCCAGGGACCAGAGAAGAGCCCGGTGAGCACCTACCGACTTGCAGCACGTTCTCCACGGAGCCGCTGTCCAGCAGACGGATGCCCCGGCGGAACGGCAGCCCCTCGCCGGCTGCTCCCGCCCCAGCACCCTGCCCAGGAGATGCCCCCGCCGCTGCAGCCCCGGGGGCGGAGCCGGCCTGAGCAGTGGCCCCTGGGGGTGGCTGCGGCCCCTCCTCAGTCAGCGATGCCCCCGCAGCGCAGCCAGCCGCGCTGACGCTCGGGCCGCCCCGGTACTGGAAGCTGGAGTACATGCAGATCTCCCGCTCATTCCGCGGGAAGGACCAGTAGACGATGCGGCGCTGCACAGGTTCCGGAATCCGCTCGAAGCGCTCCTCCACCCGTTCGTACGCCCACTTTTCTGCCACTGTCTTGGCGGCGCAGTCCAGCAGGGACTCTGGCTGCAGGTGGGGGCGGGCCCCGGAGGGCAGGCAGCTACCGCCGACGCCCCCCACCCCGCCGCTGGCCGCCCCGGGCAAACCGCGAGGGTGGTGAGCCCGCGGGCTGGGCCAGGAGCAGAGGCGCTTGGCCGGAGAGACTGGCGGCGGTGAGAGCAGCTCCTCTCGCTCACCTTCTTCCGCCATTTCTGGGGACTGACTGATTGACTGAGGCGGCAGCGGCCGCGGCTGCACGGATTGCGGCGGAGACCCCAGCCACGGCCACGCGCCCCGCGCAAGCGCCCAGCTGCGGCACGGGGGCGGGGGTGGGGAGGCGGGGTGAGCAAACCTGCTGGCCGGCCCGAGCGAAGCGGGTGCCTGGGCTGGCCCGGTTGGCGCGCGCCGCGAAGGCCAACCGGAGCGGCTGGAGGACTAGCGCGAGGCAGCGCGCTCTGTCCGTGCCGCCGCGAGAGCGAGAAGGGACGAGAACGAGCGCCGGGCGGCAGCGCGCGCGCCAGGCGCAGACAGCCCAGAACGCGCCGAGCGCTCTCGCGCGCTGACGGCCGCTTAGGGGTCCCTCATCGGTTCACTTACCTCCTTGCCCGCATGCCTCCAGCCCGCCTGCCTCCAGCCCACCTGCCTAGCGGCCAGAGGAGGTGCACTGTGTGACCATGTGAAATGGCCGGGCCGCGAACCATCCAAAGATCCGCCTCCGTGAAGTTCTAAGCTTGTCTAAGCTTGCGGGTGCAAGGAAAAATAAAACTCAAATTCAAGATAGTGCGTAGGATCTGACAGCAAAATGCTAGCAATAGATCAGGAAAAAATCCGCAAGTTCAAGTCGTGAAAATTCTTCTCGCCCCATAAGGATGTAGAATACAGTCGGCGGTCCCCTCCAGAATCATGCAAAGTCGCACCAGCCCGTGACTGGTCGGTCAGTGGGGCGCCAAGATCTCACCGCCCCTGCCGCTGCAGTCCCCTGGGGATCTGGAACGTTTAGCCATTTGCATTGTAGGAAACAAAAACACTGTGTGGTTTTTGATAGAATTGTCTGATCCCCTGTCCCTAATCTAAATTAGTTCTTTTATATTTTTCCTTACTTGGCTCAGTCTTCTACACCTTCAATTTATTTGTAACAAGTTGTACACATAGTTTTATACATCTGTGTATAATGTCAGACTGCCCAACTAACTGTAAACTAATCAGAGTGAGGATTTCATTTTCTACTTCAGTCTGTTTTCTTCACTATAATTAATCCTCCGTCCTTCAAGTATTTTACTTGGAATTACATTAAATTTATAGATTAATTTGGGAACAACTAATATCTTTATAATTGAGTCTTCATAAATATAGTACATTTCTTCATTTATATGGGTCTTCTTTACCAGTCTTGTTAAAATATCTACATATTTTGTTATCCTTATTTATTTTGTGATACTAGTGATTGCTAGACCTTTTCCAAAATACTGTTAAACAAGAAACAATCTCACCTCTGGCAGCTTAACATCTAATTAGTGAGATAAATGATGAAATATATTAAAGTTAAATAACAATAAAAGAATAGAATAATAAAAAAGCAATAGCTTCAGAGGATTGTCAAGTGACTTGAAGAAGCAGTAATTATTTTGGGAATTATAAGAATGATCACTTTGAGTAGAAATGAGAGGAAAAACTCTACTGTATAGTCTTATTCCGTCTAGATTTTGGAGAATTAAATAGGATTCGAACAGGCCAAAGGCTTAGGGAGGAAATTTTAATTGGATTGAACAACTTCAGCAAAAACTCAAAAACTGAAATTATAAATCATTTTCATGGCACTGTTAAAAATAAATCTGGTTATAAAAAGGATAGTAAGTAAAACTTAGACGGTCTTTAAAGCCAAATTATGGATAATCTGAAATGCCAGGTTAAGGGATTTAAAGTTGAATATACAATATGGGCAATGGGGAGCTAACGCAGTGAAAATTGTTAGACATCTATACAGCATTATAACGTTGAATATGATCTGTTTTTTCACACTTTTGCCCAAATTAGTCTGTGCTTTGTACTTAGTACATAATAAATCCTTTATAAATGTTTCAAGAGTGAATAAATGAATGATCTGTCTGTGATATGGAGAACCTATTTGAAGGGGAGAGGTGAGAGATAGAGAAACCTCTTAGGTACCTATAATAATCTGGTCATGCATTTTTAGTAGCCTCAATTCAGATGACAGTAGAAAAACAAAAACTTCCCTGAATAAAGTGCTTCTGCCCTATTGTTATTAAAAACTGATATAGTGAATATTTATCATCTATCCTGTACTTAAAGTAGCAGGGTGATTTTTTTTAATTGACCATGAAGTTACACTTTATGTTTTCTGATATATTTGCCATTTTTAAACAAATACAAATAAATAAACTTTGTGGGGCATTATAAGTTAAACATAGTGAAGGATACTAGGTTGTTTAAAACAGTCTGAGCATTAAGAATGGAGAAATCATACGTAGGCCTGAGCTGGAACTGGAAATTGATACAGAGGAAGTTGCAGGAAGATAGGGAAGCAGGGGCATTTAATAACAATGGTACTTAAAACTGACACCGTGCTTTACAATTTTCAGCTAGGAAACAGATGGTTGCTGAAGAAAATTCACTGAATTGTGCTGACCAAGAATACTAATTTCATTTGAACCCTAAATTATGCTTAGTAACCCTATTATTCATTCCTAATTGACTACTACCTTTATCCTCGCTTTGCCTATGAAGAAAGGCTCAGAAAAGTTGTGTCTTAGTCTAGGTTGCTAGAAAATGAGTACCAGAAGCAGAACTCCAGTCCATGCTGTTAAATTCTAAGTCCAGTGAAATGTCCTTTCAGTACTGTAGTTGTCTCGTCCAGGAGTTAAGGGATTTTGTAAGGATAGGATCAAAGTGACCATATATTCTCTCTCCTGGACAGGGGCTCAATTTTGCCCAGAAATGGACTAACCAGACTGTGTGATTTAGAAGGGAATTGGCAGTTAAATTTCTCAGTGAAGCATTAGAACCATTTCATTGGCTATAATCAAATAGTAAAACTTAAAAAAAAAAAAAAAAAAAGAGGGAGCCCTGGCTGGTGTGGCTCAGTAGATGGAAAGCCGGCCTGCAAGCAGAAGGGTCACTGACTCAATTTCCCCAGTCAGGGCTCATGCCTGGGTTGCAGGCCAGGTCCCCACCAGTTGGGGGCATGTATTTCTCTCCCTCTCTTTTTTCCTCCCTTCCCCTCTCTCTAAAAATAAATAAGTAAATAAAATCTTTAAAAAAGAGAGAGAAGGGAGAAAAAAGTGATAAAAATAAGAGGAAGGTAAAGAAAAAGACAAAAGATGAGAAGGAAAAGCAGCAGTGACTTGTGATAAGAAACACTGAAACTGTCAGCAACTAGAATAATGAGACCCAAAGTAAGGCCTTGTTAACATGTGGCTTGTGTGGAGTAAATACTGAGGATAGTGTTATTTAAAGCTATGTGAGGCCATTGTTGACATCTTCCAGCTCTTTTCAAGGTTAGCCTAAACATTGGTTCAGATCAAAATAATACTGGTTTGTTGATGTTAGCATAATTGTTCTAATGCTTTAGATACTAAAGTCAACATACAATGTCAAGCTTATAGTCTTGTTTGGGAAACAGACATTAAACAAATAAATATATAAATACAGATGGTAATGACATGGCACATAAGACTTCAGGGAATATGTAAAATGTGGTTGGGAATAGCAAGTACTCTAGTTATAATGTGGGGGGTTGCTATTTTTTTATTTTTTTTATTGTTGTTCAGTTACAGTTGCCCCAGTTTTCCCCCTGTTGTTCTCCCTGTCCCATCCCCCCTCCTCTATTGTATTTTTTCCATTACTATTTATCCCCCTTGTACCCTCTTCCACCTCCCCCCTTCCCACCCCACCCCTGCACTCATCACACTATTGTCCGCTTCCTTGAGTTCTTGTTATTGTTTTTCCTTGATATGTCCACCCTGCTATGCTCCCCTACTTGAGGTAAGTACGCACTCTAGGTTAATTGGAACACAAAGATTATGATACAAAGACTGTAAAGGAGACTTGAGAGACATTGTGAAAAGTTTTACTTTTTTTATTCTCACTGAGGACATTTATTTCACTGTTTTTAAAGACAGAAAAAAAGAAAGAGGAAGGGAGAAAGAGAAAAACATCAGTTGGTTGGTTGCCTCCTGTATGCATCACCATGGATCAGACTGCAACCTAGGTATGTGCCGTAATCAGGAATCAAACCTGAAACCCTTCAGTTATGGGAGGATACTCCCACCAACTGAGCCACACCAGCCAGAGCTGTGAAAAAGCTTTAAAATGCTAACCTAAAGAATCTGAATTCTCTTAGGTTGGCAGAGGTAAGCTGATAAAGATGTTTTGAGCAGAGGAATAACATGATACTCAACTACCAACTTACACCATACACAAAAATAAACTCAAGATGAATAAAAGACTTAAATATAAGTCATGATACCATAAAAGCCTTAGAGGAGAACATAGGCAGGAAAATCTCAGATATTCCACACAGCAATATTTTCACCAATAGGTCCCCTAGAGCAAGGGACATAAAGGAAAGAATAAACAGATGGGACTTCATCAAAATAAAAAGCTTCTGCACAGCTAAAGAAAATACCAGCAGCCCTGGCTGGTGTAGCTCAGTGGATTGAGTGTGGGCTGCGAACCAAAGCATCGCAGGTTCAATTCCCAATCAGGGCACATGCCTAGGTTGCAGGTCACAGCCCCCAGCAACCGCACATTGATGTTTCTCTCTCTCTCTTTCTCCCTCCCTTCCCTCTCTAAAAATAAATAAATAAAATCTTTAAAAAAAAGAAAAGAAAATATCAGCAAAATGAAAAGAGAACCAATTGTATGGGAAAATATATTTGCCAATGATACCTTGGACTAAAGTCTGACCTCTAAAATATGTAAAGAACTCACATGACTCCACTCCAGGAAGACAGACAATCCAATTAAAAAATGGGCAAAGAATCTGAACACAGTTCTCCAAGGAGGACATACAGAGGTCCCAGAGACACATGAAAGGATGCTCAGCATCACTAGCCATCAGAGAGATGCAGATTAAAACCACAATGAGATACCACCTCACACTGGTCAGAATGGCCATCATATCCAAATCAGCAAACAACAAGTGCTGACAAAGTTGTGGAGAAAAGGGAACCCTAGTATATTGTTGGTGGAAATGCAGACTGGTGCAGCCACTGTGGAAAACAGTATGAAATTTCCTGAAAAAAAAAAACAAAAACAAAAAACCTAAAAATGGAACTGCCTTTTGACCCAGCAGTTCCACTGCTGGGATTATACCCTAAGAATCCCAAAACACTAATTCAAAAGAACCTATGCACCCCAATGTTCATAGCAGCACAATTCACAATAGCCAAGTGCTAGAAGTAACCTAAGTTCCCATCAGTAAATGGGTGGATCAAAAAACTGTGGTCCATTTACACAATGGAATACTGCACAGCAGAAAGAAAGAAGGAGCTCCTACCCTTCGCAACAGCATGGATGGAACTGGAGAGCATTATGCTAAGTTAAATAAACCAGGCGGTGAAAGACAAGTACCATGTGATCTCACCTTTAAGTGTAACCTAATCAACAAAACAAACAAGCAAGGAAAATATAACCAGAGACACTGAAATAAAGGACAAACTGACAGTGACCAGAGGGGAGGGGTGAGGGAGATAATGGAGGAAAGAAAAGAAAGGGTAGTCAAGGAATATGTATAAAGGACCCATAGACAAAGCCAAAGAGGGAGAGGATTGAGGGTGGTAGGTGAGGATGGGTGGGGCAGGGGAAAGTGGTGGTAGGAAAATGGAGACAATTGTATTCAAACAACAATAAAAAATGATTAAAGAAGAGGAGGAGGAGGAGAAAGAAGAACATGGTAAAAGACAGTGTTTTAAGAAGGTTAATCAGGCCCTGGCTGGCATAGCTTGGTAGACTGAGTGCGGGCCTTGAACCAAAGCATTGCAGGTTCGATTCCCAGTCAGGGCACACGCCTGGGTTGCAGGCCATGGCCCCCAGCAACCACACATTGATGCCTCTCTCTCTCTCTCTCTCTCTCTCTCTCTCTCTCTCTCTCTCTCTCTCTCTCCCCCCTCTCCCTCCCTTCCCTCTCTAAAAATAAATAAAATCTTTTTTTAAAACAAGAAAGTTAATCAGACAGAAATATGTAGGACCAATGGGGAGAAGAGTAAGAGCCTAGAGGCAGAGGACGAGTTAAGAGGCTGTGGTGACATGCGAGAAAGAAGTGGTAAAGTCCTGTAGAGGGCATAGGAGATCTAGACATAGGGGTAAATAGGGACTGGAATCTACCCTGCACCCCATTTGCCCAGCCCTGCACCTAAAGAATTGTATTTGGGTACCCTTTTCTAATTCTCACCAAGGGACCATATGGGCAGTGTCTCTAGGCCTGTATTACTCTGATCTCTTTCCTCTGGTGAGGACATTGACCCATTTCAAAGAGGCTGTGGGTGTCTAAAGATATTTTTTATAGCATTGCAATGTCAAGTGTGAACACACAAATACCAAAATCAATGACCAGGAAGAATTCATGATAGTTTACAACAGCTCTTTTCATGTCAGGAAAATGTTCAGCCAACCCTAAAAACAAATCTTTAAAATTATATCTGTGAAACATCCTCAGCCCCTCTGGAATGGAACAAAAATCACTGATAAGATGGGGGTGAGGGATAGAGTAAGGCCTAGAGATGAAGATTTAGGCATCATCTAGCAAGCACACTATATGCAACCCAGAATCGTCTATTTAATAGTGGAATTTATTCTGGTTTCCATTTCAAAATGTAGAAAATGGATATGCCTTCTAAAATGTAGCTAGCTGATAATGCTAACTTTCCTTGGGTCTATATTAGATACTGAATGAAATGGGGGTAGGGAAAGATATTTGAGAAATAAAAAGGAAAATCATTATTAAAACAATATTCGGTTGATTGGACCTATTACCCAACTCAGACATATTTCTTGTAGTAGAAAACAGCCATAAAATTAGAGGAATTTAGCTCCAGGGGTAAGCCCCAACTTGACT